GGCGCTTTTTGCCGCTGAGCTAAATCCCCAGCCCCTTAGTTGGTTTTTTTATTCAGGATTTTAGTGTGTTATATTTATGTAACAGGTGTAACTACATGAGTTCTTAGTACTAAATAGCTATATGTTTGTTTGTTTATTTATTTATTTATTTATTTGGGTACTGGGAATTGAACTTAGGACCTTGTACTTGCCAGGCAGGTGCTGTGCTGCTGAACTATATCCCTGGGCCCCTGTATGTTTAAATATTTAATTGTTTTAACTCTCAGGAATGAAGCATTTTTCATAAATTATATAGACATATAATAGGATTGAAGCAGAATTTTTTTGCTTTGTCTGTAGATAGTTTCTAATGGAGATGAACAATTGGAAAAAGCCATGGAAGAGATCCTGAGAGATTCTGAGAAAGGGCAAAGCAGTCCTCCTGCTGATTGTCAGAGTTCCAGTGAGATATCAGACCATGTCACTGGGGATGTTCCAGCCAACCAGACATACAAGCCTTCTCTTCAGTTAATTTTGGACCCATCTAACACAGGTACTTTATGTTACTCTTAGAAATCCTAAGGAAAATGGAGTAAAATGATAATGAAAGTTTTAAGTTGAAAATTAGAAAACCCTTAGCTTTTTTAAAAAATAAGATCAGAGCCATCAAGCTTTCAGTTCTGGTTGAGAATTAATACTTCAATTCTTGTATTTCTGCCTGTGTATCTGCTTATAAAATCGGGTCTTGGTGTTTTTTTCAAAAGAAAGACTGCAAGGGTTCTTATTTTACCCCCAGCACGTGGTACATGGTAGGTCATCAATACTTCCTGAACAAATTAATACATTCTTGGGCATCAGAATATTGTACTGGACAGTCTTACATGTTATGTGCCTTTTTACTCACATTGGTGTTAACTTTATAATTGGTAAAATAGCATTTTTTTTTTTTTTTTTTTTCTCTCCGGTACCAGGAACCAAACTCATGACCTTGCGCTTGCCAGGCAGGCGCTTTTGCCGCTGAGCTAAATCCCCAGCCCTAAAATGGCATTTTAACTCTGTGTGTGTGTGTGTGTGTGTGTGTGTGTGTGTGTGTCTGTGTTTGAGACAAGGTCTTGCTCTATAGTTCAGGCTGGCCTTGAACTCACTATGTGAATCAGCAGGCTGGCCTTAAATTCACAACAACCCTCCTGAGTGCTGGGGTTACAGGTATGCAGCACCATGCCTGACTTCTATTAGTATATATTTAATAATAAATGCCCACAAATGAGTAGGATTTACACTGTCAGTACCAGTTGTTAAGACAAGATGCTTTTGGATATAAAAAACCAAAACCAAAACCAACTTCAGTTTCAGCTGGCTTAAACATTAGAGATATGGTTTGATCTGGACTCTGGTGGTGGTTTTTGTAAACTATTCAGTTCTGATTTTCTTTCTGTCATTCTTCACAAAGTAACTACCAGCAGAGACTGGTAGGTGTAGTGATGTGTTCATGCCTGGTGGCAGAGAGAAAGGCTTCATTCTTTTACTAATTGAACAACAATTCTGAGTGTCACTATGATTTGACTAACAGACCATTTTCTAGTGGTCAGGGAGATGGTATAAGGTATAGATATAGACTTGTATTATATTCAGACTCCTTAGTACGTCACTTTGAGAGAAGGCTGGTTTTATCCTGATTGTCAGGTACGAATATGTTGGTTAGGTATAAGCTAAAAACTGCTAAACAGTGAGGTAGGTTATGTGAGGAATGTAATCATGATGCATTCTCTGGCAAGGATGATTCAATTTTAAAATCTGTCAGTATGATTTACCACATGTTCTGGCTTGTGTCTAGATGGCCCCCTAAAGCCTCATGTGGTCATAGGTTGGGCTTTTCAGAGGTGGCTGGATCTAGTGTGTGATTCCTAAACTAAGGCAGGGTGGCCTGGCAGGGGGCCATGGCAGAAGAGAACTGCTCAAGGCATGGCAGTGGGAAGCAGAGAGATTAGGGGAGAGGGAGGGAGACAAATCTTTTCAGGCCACACCTCCAGTGACTCACTGACTCCCACAGGCTTCACCTCCCAATGTCACGTTTAGCTATAAACTCACCAGTGGAGTAATGCGCTGATGCCCACCGTGCCTTCATGATCCCTGGAACTCCCCACCTATGAAGGCATGAGGCTTAGGAAGGACATCCAGATACAAACTAAAACCTGTATTAATTGAAGGGAGGGGATACTTTGTATTTTCTAATGTGACTTTGTTGAGTTATTGAGATGAATTAACTCTTCCAGTTCCTATTTCTGAGCATATTCTCAGAGTCTTTCCTTTTATATTCTTAAGACCCATTACCCTGACTACATTTTAAAAAATTTATGTTGCACTGAATGTCTTTGTGGTTAAGAGGACTCTTTGCTTTACAAGTAAGTTTTCTGTATTTTTTTCCCTGGGCATATATTTTTACTTTTCATGTTCAATAAAAGAACATTTCTGCTGGCTTTTCTTAGTTGTAATCAGCATAGTGTTTGCTAATGGAATTGTGGTTGACTTTAAATGACAGGTACCTGTAGTGGTGGGAAACTGTCTGCCAACGAAGTGGCCTAAATTGAATAGCGAGTGTGTGGTGTTTGCCAGATATTAAACAAGGTTGACAAGAGCTCTTCTTTAAACATTTGATAAGTTGTTTTTTGTCATTTACTGTTCTCATATCCTAGCTATGTAGATTCATTTCTGTCAGGAAATCTTTGGATGAGCCCTGTGTTATTCTTTGCATCTCTCCACTGAGGAATGAATGAGGCAATTAAAAAATATGACTTGAATAAATAGGACTGATTTGTATTTATTTTGGTGGAATTGAACTTCTTACATTGGTGTTTGACTTTTACCAGGCCTGCAAGTCTGGCCTTGCTAACGGCGTTTTTGCTGTTTGCCTGCTTAACTCAGGATTTTCACTAGTCATAATCTAATCTGATAATTGCTATGAGTTTTGTCCATAAGACGGTTGCAGTTATGATGCATTTAATTGTGAATGGGATAGGATTAAGGTAATGCTCAGGATGACATGTATTTAGTAGGTTGTTGAAAGGACCATTAGCCCTATTTAATTATTAATTCATTTTATATATATTGAATGGTCTGTCTTTGGATGCTGTTAATGTCTGGTAATACAAAGAGGCTAGTTTCTTCCTTAAAGAGGTACATATTCTGTAGTTATGAATAGAATAAGAATTACTGTTTGCTGCTAGTTTATCTTATCTTAAACCTCTATAAAGTGGTATCTGGAGTTCAGAGCTGGGTTTGAATCCCACCTCTGTCTTCCCCTGACTGTGTGGCTATGGGCAAGTTATTTAACCTTGTATACGTTAGTTTCTTAAAGTGTGAAGCAGAGATGAAATTCAGTTTGCGTCATAGGCACAAAGGAGGATTAAATGGCACTATCCATATATTATAAAATGCTTGGCACAAAATGAGTATCTAAAAATATTTACCATCCTCCTCCTCCTCAGTATCAATATGGAAAACTTTGAACCTGAAAATGAAAATCACATGAAATCTTAGGTCCAAGCCCAAAACTGCAATTAAAACACATCTGCTTTTAATGGATGTGGGGGCAGGGTGTAAGCCCTTTATCTCCATTGAAGCACCTTGGTGGAACCACCAGATTCCTGTGGAGCAATATCCTTTGAAAAGTGCTTGATATACTATTGATGAAGTAGCTGAGGTCCAGAGGTTAAGTGACTTGTAGAGGCTATACAGCTGTTTTGTGGCTGCTAATAGGATTAGAAATAGTCCCTTCTGCAACCCAGTAGAATAAACATGGCATACGTTAAGAAAAACTTGGCATATAACCACTTTACCTTTGTTTCAGAAAATGTATGCTCTTGCAGTAAAGCTGTAACAATTTATTGTATTCTCTATTTCGAATATTGCTTAAAATCCAGTTTGTCTTATGATGGTGTTTTTCTTTGTTTTTTTTTTGTTTGTTTGTTTGTTTTTGTTTTTTGTTGTTTTTTGGTTTTTCTCCGGTACCGGGAACCGAACTCACGACCTTGCGCTTGCCAGGCAGGCGCTTTTGCCGCTGAGCTAAATCCCCAGCCCCAATGGTGTTTTTCTTAAGTTGAGGAATTTTCTGTAGTGTTTCTTTTAAAGCACATCTACTTATCCTGGATTTTCATTTTCCTATATATAAAAATGTAACAAATAAGTCATGATTTTCCCAAATACTCTGATTTGTAGGAACTCATTTTTCTTCCTTTTGGCCAGGAAGATTGAATTTCCTTCACACAGTTTTACTGTTCATTGCAAAATTCTGCAGCTTGGCTATATTTAGGTCAAAGCCAGGAGATAAAGACAAAAAAAAGACAAAGGAAAAAAAGAAAGAAAACTCAACACCATACCAGTAGTTCTTCAAGTTTTAACTTGCCCTCCAATGTGCTTGTTTTTTCTTTTTTTTAGTGTTCTCAGGTAGTTATTTATTATATTGTGTCTAGACTTTTCAGTTGTGACCTATAGGAGAGAGAAGCTATAGTAGACTCATTACTTTAGTTGGGACTATGCCAGTTCTGTTTCTGCTAGCACATTCAACTTTGTTAATTTTTATTCAAATATTGTGAAGTTGTGGTATTAAGAGCATAGTCTTTCGCAATTACTGTGCTTTCTTACTGAATTTTTTTTCTTTTGTTCTGAAATGTAGCCTTTTCTGTATACAGACCCTCTAGTTTTCTTATAATTAATGATTACAGGATACATCTTTTTCTAAATTTTTTTTTTTAACTTTTAACATATTTGTGTCTTTTAAACACCTTTAAATGTGCTTTCTGAGCACCTTCTTAGAGCATCAAACAACATGTCATTTTCATAACATTTGTATTTTGAGCCTGGTGTGGTGGCACACACCTATCATCACAGCACTCTGGGAGGCTGAAGCAGGAGGATTACAAGTTCAACCTTACACTCAGCAACCTTGCAAGTTAGCAAGATCCTGTCTTTAAAATATATAGAAAAAGGCTATGGATGAAGGCCCTGGGTTCAGTCTTCAATTACCCACTGCCCCTTGTTTTTCTGTAGATAGCTTTCTGACAATCTCAAGTCTTAATTGGGGTTAGGCTGTGGTCAGCAAACTATTATCTGTGGGCAAAATTTTATCCCTTGCTTGGTTTTAGTATAGCTTGGAAAGTAAGAATGGATTTTACATTTTTAAATGGTTGAAACATGTCAAAAGGAGAATAATGTTTTGTGACAAAGGGAAGTTATATGAAATTCATATTTGAATGGCTATAAGTTCAGTTTCGAATTTTGTACAAAAATAATCTGTGGCAGTGCTGGAATTTGAATGCAGAGCCTCACCCATATTAGGCCAGTGATCTGCCACTCAACTGTGTCCCCTGGCCTGGGCCTTTACTTTTAATGTGATTTTCAATATATTTGGTTATAAGTGTATCTTCCTTTTTGTGGTATATTTTCTCTTTTTTCCTTTTAATTTCTGCCCTCTTTTCTTGTCCTCTTTTCAGTTTAGTTATTTATTTATACTTAGTATTTGTTTTCAATACATAATAATTACATTCATTTTGGAGAATTGCAACATATGCATGTTTTGGGGATTGAGTATTTTTTAATGTTCATTTTAGCTTTTTCACTGGTGTATTACACTAGTTATTTAATTTTGTTTTATTATTTTAGTAGTTGATGGAGTTTATATACTGAGTTTTTAAAATGTTTACAGTCTATTAACACTTCATGTATATCATAAGAGTCTTCCATTTTTTCCCTTGTAGACTTTATGATTTTATTGTCATTATTTCACTTATACATATGTTACATATTCTATAGAGTACTGGTTTTTCTTTTTGCTTTAACTAATCTGTAATGTTTTGAAAGAAATTTAAAAAGCAAGGAAAAAGTCTTTCTTTCTGTGTTCATTGTCTTGTCATTTTCCTTTAGCGTGAAGAACTTCCTTTCACAGTTTTTTTCTTCTGTAATTTACAGTCTTCTGATATGGCCATCAAGTGATTATTTCTCTTTGCATCTTATATTCTTTGGGTATAAAACTAGTTTGTTTTTTTTTTTCTTGGAGACAGAGTCGCACTATGCAGGTCAGGCTGGCCTTGAACTCACTTTGTAGCCCAGGCTGGCTTCAGACTCACAGTGATCCTCCTGCCTCAGCTTCTTGAGTGCTGGGACTACAGGTGTGCAGCACCATGCCCGGCTAGTCTAAAATCTTTGGTTCTTTTTTCTTTCATTTTTCTACTTGTTTTGTTGGATTTTTTAAAAAATCTTTTATCATATTTATACTATTAAAGGCCTGTCTGCCAGTTTTTGATCACTTATCTTTTTGGAACAATTTCCCTATTCTTATATTTTTAGTCTATATGAATCTTGAATTTGTAAAGTATTTGTAAATTTGTAAGTATTCCTTAACCACCCCCTTTAGGATTGCAGTTACAGAAATACCAAATGACTCAGATCACTTACTCTACCATGCGCATCAGTCACTGAAGTATGATTTTACCTCAAGCTCTTGCAAATAACTTTTGGTGTAGAATAAGTGCTTACAAAATTAACAAAAATGTACAGTAATGTATGTGCATGTAATAACAATACTAAACATAATTTAAACATGTTAATATTCAGCCTTAAAATGATTTATAGTTTTTTAGTTATCCTTTTGGGATTTTGTACATTGAAAAGGGAGAAAAACATGCTTCAGTGACTGAAGGACGTGGTAGAGAGAGTAGTTCACTTTGGCTTTTGTTTCTCACTAGAAAGTTGGTGGTGAGGTTATTTTAATATAATATACAGGAGTTGGAGGGAGGAAGTTGGAAATAGCTTTTGTCGGACTATTTATTAAAATTCTATGAGAAAGCCGGGTGTGGCGGTACATGCCTGTAATCCCAGCACTCAGGAGGCTGAGACAGGAGGATCACTGTGAGTTCGAGGCCAGCCTGTGCTACATATAATAAGTTTAAGGCCAGCTTGAACTTTATAATGAGACCCTGCCTCAAAATAATGACAACAGAAAAATCCTATGAGAGGAATCCAGGCATTGAGAAGTTGAACACACTGTAAGGATCTAGTTGGGGTGATTAGGCATGTTTGGTGTTGTGCAGTGTGTATGTGGGTAAAAAGGGGAAAACTTAGAAATAAGATAAATATGTGTTTAGATGGGACCACAAAGAGAGAATGTAGTATTGCCTAATAACATGCGGATAGAGAGTCTTCAACCATAATTGGTTCCTTGCTTCATGTTGTACTTTGAGTTAAAGTGAACAGTTTTTGACTCCCCCTCCCCAAACCCATTATGGGGAATAGGTAGAGCTGAGTGAAGTAATCACAGGTTCATTCATCAAAAGCACTTAATTTGAGGGAAAAATATTCATTGGATATTGCATTGTTCATAGAGGCCAACCAGGAAAGGAGAAAATAAGGACTGGACTTTTGTTGTTGGTATGAGTTGTAACATTTTAACATTATTTACTTTTGCTTAGAAAGTTAGGTTGCTTAGTAACTGATTTTATTTCTATTTAATTTTCATTATATTTAGGCCAATTCATGTTGTTTTTAGTTTTTATTTGAAGTATTTCTTTTTGAGCATTTGACAAAATTAAACTGCAGAGTTTTGCATTCACTTTTGAATGTGTCTTGTCTTTTCCTTCAGAAATTTCTGCACCCAGACCATCTTCTCCAAGTGGAATGCCTGAAGAAGACAGTGTTTTATTTAATAAACTGACCTACTTAGGATGTATGAAAGTGTCTTCTCCACGTAATGAAGTGGAGGCTTTACGGGCAATGTCAACCATGAGATCTTCTAGTCAGAACCCCTTTCCTGTTACTCTGTATGTGCCAAATGTTCCAGAAGGTTCTGTGAGGTAAGCTCTTACTTTCTTTTTCTGTAGATGTGTATTAAATCTTTTATGTGGTGGTGAGGATGTTGTATCATAATTCAGATGTAGAACTTACTGTGCGTTCACTCACATCTGATAGACATGCAAAGTAAACATATTTAGGCTTAGCAGCTGTTCCTATTTAGGGATATTTACAAAGTTGTGCACAAAGTAGGACATTATACATAAAAATAAAAGGTAAAATTCTTCTGTTACTCAGATTGAACATTAAAATATGTCATTAGTCTGTCATCTAAAAGTGGCTCATAAAACTAAAGTAATAGCTAAGTTCTAAGTACCAAACTAATAGCAATATAAATTTTCAAAGTTCAGGTAAAAATTCTTTTGAGTTTTCCAAGGAAGTGTTTTTAAAATATTTATATCATATTTTGTGATCAGGATATCTCCCTTGCCAGGTAGGTATTTTTTATATGGTATTTTGTGAAAATGACAAAAACATCTTTTTATGTTTCTGTTTAGTTTCAGTCGTACCTTGACAAAGATTTAGTTTCAGTCCACACCTTGACAAAGATTTAGTGCTTTTTTGTAGTATATTTGCTGGCGAATTGACCATAGGATTTAGTGTTTTGATTTGCCTTGTGTACCTGGTAATTGCCTCCCCTCATTCTCAGCCCATTTCTCAGTTTCTCAATTGGAGATCTTGAAGATATCTTGAATGTTTAGGCTTAGGAGATGTATAGTGAAAGTCAGAGAATTACTTGCTTCTGAATCTCATGAACTCCTTTCAGCTGTTCTATTCTGTTGTTGAGGCTTATCTTTGGAACCACCTGATCCTTTTTTGGGATAAATTAGTTTTCAGTTGTGCAGTAGTTTAGAGGTTAGGTAAACTTATAAGGTGCTGCTCTGAAAAGAAGTGGGCTTTCCAGGGATGAGTTATGTTATTCCTTTTAACAGAAAAAATCTAGACTTTCAGGTTGAGTGATAATAGATTTTAACAGGTGATGTATACTTGGCTTTGGAGTAAGTGAGATGGCTCTTGGAAAACACAAGAATGAAGACATTGTCAAAAGAAAAAAAATTGTGTATGTGTATGTGTGCATGCATGTGTATAAGACAGTTTTTTCTTGTATTATCAATACCAGTTAATTTTGTGATTCCAAGGTAATTATGCTTATGTGGCGTCCATTGGCATAGTGGAATTATTTGCCTTTGTCTTTAGTACTTAATATTTTATCCAATTTTTTTGTCATTGTTCTGCAGAATCATTGACCAGTCCAGAAATATGGAGATAGCATCTTTCCCAATCTATAAGGTCTTATTCTGTGCACGTGGGCATGATGGGACATCAGAGAGCAATTGCTTTGCATTTACAGAGAGTTCCCATGGCTCAGAAGAATTTCAGATACATGTGTTCTCCTGTGAAATTAAAGAGGCAGTAAGTATGTTTTAGCAATTTGCCATCAAGTTAAATTATGGTAAAATTGTTGAACTCTTAATTTTCCTGTTGTATAAGTATGTCATGTAAATTTGGGGAGTTTTCCTAAAGACAAAGTTAGTATTTGTGATGGCATATAGCAGAAGATGGAAGGCTAAGTGTGATACGTGTATATGCTGAAATGATTTCGTAGGCAGGGCAGTCTCACAGTTTATCAGGTGCAATAGAAAAATATCACTTATTGAACTCTTAGCCTACCACTGTAGTAATTGTTTATTCTCAGAAGGAATGAATACTTATGCACTTCTCATTATTTTGCCCATGTAAAATGTTCCAAGTGATTTTAAAAAGTGCTTATAACAATACCTATTTTTCTGATGGGCTTGATAGTTACACATTGCTTTCACTTAGATACTGCCTGATATTGTTTCATAGATTGCTGTGGTTTTCTCTGGTGATTATTTGTTTCATACACAGGCTGATTTTTGCTCTGTAGCATTGACCTAATTACAAATATAAATGATCACATAGATCAGGAATATCAACTTTTGGTCATTTGAAGATTCCAATAGCTTCTTAGCAACTGTTGAATGTTGGTTTATTCTTAGACTGAAGAAGTGGTTCAGAATCACATGGTTATAAAATACCTGGGGAACCATTCTTTTCTGTATCTACTCAGTTGACTGCAAATTAAAACTAAGTTGAATTATTTGTTTAGTACTTGAAACCAAATAAAAGGTATTGGTAAATGGTTTGAACAGGCAAAGTTTCAGATGTGTTTGCTTTTGAAAATACAAATTGTCAGCAGAAGATGCTAAAAGGAGCAGTTACTTTAGTCTCCATTTACCATGAAACATAGGTAAATCATTGTATTGATCAGAATTTTGAGTTTATTCTAGCCACAAAATGAAGATTCCTATAAATGTAGATCTTTGTGAGTTTGATATTAAGAATGGTGAGTGTACTAGTTCTTAAGCCCTGGTGATCAGTTCATTTTACACTAAAATGAACTTGTGCAGGTATGTAATTTAGATTGTAAGTATAGAAATTCCTGTGCTAGAACCCATGCCTTGTGTAAAAAGTTCAAGTCTTGTCTGTTTTTAGATAGGCCTTTATTTCATCCTAACAAACACATGCATGCATGCGCGCACACATACACACACAAGCATATATACTGACTTATTCCTCAAAAGGGTGTGATCCATAGGAGTGTGAATGAATACAAGTGTGCTGCTAGTGTCTTGGCATGTAATAGGCATGAATCTAGATGTGTTGAAAGAATATGTGTATTTTTAAATGAGAACAGCTATGTTTGATCCTTAAAAACTCCACTACAGCGGTGGGGAAGCAGATGGTAGAGTCCTGGCATTTCATGTTGGCAGCTGTCATTTAACACACCTGTGTGATTTCTGGATTGATGGAGCCCAACAGCAAGGAAATGAACTTTGAAGAACCGGAGAACCTGCTACTCAGAGAGATATGCACTCTACTGTAGAAGGATGTTGAAAAGGAACCTGCTGCAAGCATTTCTCATAACTGATGGTATGAAACTTTCTTTGGGGATTACAGTATCTACTTACAAGTAGGGAAATGTTTGTTATGTTTGAGCTTCAGCAGTGTAGGTAAGCAGTGTAACAAACCTGGGAAATTCTTGACCTATTTTAGATGTAGAATGAAATAATTACATTTCTGGAGAGCATATTTAGTATTATAGATTGTGAGAAAGCTTTCCATGTATTATTTATTCATTTTTTGGTACTGGAAATCGAACTTAGGACCTTGCACTTGCCAGGCAGGTGCTTATGCCGCTGAGCTATATCCCCGGCCCTCCATGTATTGTTTAACTCATTTTTTTGAGTATGGTTTTGAAAATATTACATTGTACATCATTGGTGTTGAAATGCATTATTTCAAGGAAAAATACTTGACCTTGGCCATTAAACATATTTATGAGACATCATTTCTAAATGAAGAATAATCCAATATAAATAGACACCTTATGCCAGGGATTGTGCTAAGCATTTATTTGATACTTGGTGTCGGTGGCATTGGGAGTAGTATTTATTTAGATGAATGACCTATGTTCTCTTTGTCTGGAGCAATGCTACCTTACACCTGTTGCCCAGGTATATTATTAAAATCCTTTTATTTATTCTCGGAAGTGTTCTGGTTTGGATGATAAATTGTATGTTTACTCCCCTGAGACTAGTAGAGTTGCTTTTCAGTGTTGGGTTTCAAATTGAAGTCTTCGACTCCGAAGAGTGGTACATTTTCAGCAACAGCTTCCTTATTGCTTGAGTATTATATAAAGTTGTAGATTTTTGTTTTTCAGTTTTATAAAGAGATTAAACAACCACATAACGACTTTTACAGATGTTAACATCTTCCTCTCTTGTCTGAAGTGTTTCAGTTGCATTTATTGTTCCCTTGGTTATCTGCTTCCCAGAAATTTCCTGACTTGTAGTCTTTAAGTGTTTGAGTTCCTTTTGATGGGGACAAATGATTGGCACAGATAGCTCAGGAACTATGTCACAGACATTCTTATCACTTAAGAATGTTCAGTGCCACTAATTTATTTGTTTTCTTTCTTCCTTTTCTTTTCTTTTTTTCAGAGTCTCTGGATGATAAATGAAGTATTTTTTCCCATTAGAGGAAAGAGACTTTCCCAAGCAGAAATAACAACATGGCTGCCGCTACCAGCTGTCACTGTGATGTTCTTATTTCACTGTAAAACTGTTCAAGCAGCAAGCACCAGCAGTGGTGGAGGGAAGCCTAGGGTGCTGGCTGTCTGGAACATCTGTGATATAAGGAGTAGGGATACCCATAAAAGGGTCAGGACACAATTCATTTGTTATCCTGGTTATTCTTCTGCAGGACTTTGTTGGAGTGAATCTGTATAACCTGTGGCAAAAAGAGTTGACATGCCATCCAAAAGTAACTTAAGTGTCAGTGATCTTTGGACAAGGGGAGTGATACGTTAGGCTCCTGCTGAAGAATTATAGACAAAACAAAAGTCTCAGAAATAGTAAGAGAAGCCATGGAGGACCTATTTCTGTTGCATCTTTGTGGAGATATACAAACCTTTCAAATGATACTTTAAAAGTCATGGTTGACGCCATTTAAAATTGTATTTTTACTAGGCAGTGGAAGTACTTTTTTCAAGTCAGGTTTTCATGATTTTTTTGTATGTTTTAATTCTAGCAACTCTGAATGTTATATTTTAGAACCACAGTTTTTCTCACTTGTCTTAGGGATATTCAGAGATACTTTATGATAACAGTAGTATCATTGGGGAGATCTTTATTCAGAATATACTTTTATTTTGGGTGTGGGGACGCTTCCCCACTAGCTACTGTATGAAAGAAAACCATTTCTTACATGGGAAAATAATCTAAATAGATATTTATGGAGATGGATATTTTGGTTAAATGCTTTATTTTAGGAAGTTAATTCAGGAGTTATCTTTTTAGTGTTTTCCTTAAGTTTTGTAATTTAAAAAGTTTCTTGGGTAGTATATTTTTTAAAAGTTTCTTTTATTTTAGCTCTTTTTTTTTTTTTTTTTTTTTTTTGGTTTTTCTCCGGTACCGGGAACCGAACTCACGACCTTGCGCATGCCAGGCAGGCGCTTTTGCCGCTGAGCTAAATCCCCAGCCCCTTATTTTAGCTCTTTTAAAAAATTTTTATTTATTTATTTTTTTGAGACAGGGTCTTGCCATGTGGCTCAGGCTGGCCTCGAACTTGCAGCAGTCCTGCTGCCTGAGACTCCCAAGTGCTGGGATTACAGCTGTACGCCACCACACCTGACTCAGAATATAGTTCATAGAATTTTTTTCTGCTTTCTTTCTTGGGTGAACATTTTCTTGATATATGGTGTTTATAAAAGAGTAAGTTATCTTATACCAACCAGTATTAATGGAAAGCTTTATTTTGTAAAAGTTAGCTATGTTTAATTTAAGTAAGTATCTTTGTTATCTAATGTCACTGTACTTTTACCATGTAATACATATTTGAAGCTTTGAAAAAAGTGAAATAAAGAAGAGAATAAAAAATGATCACATTTCTATACATTTCTACCAGTTAAGCTTTTCGCACATCTCTGTTTCAAATTACGACTTTTTGAAGGTACTGATTTCTGGGAAAAATTGTGTTGTATTATTTCTCAATAAACCTTTACCTTCTGTGAAGAAAAGGCCCATCCTAGGTAATTCTTGTGTGTGTACATGTTTTAATAATATGACATTTATTGGAGTCTTTGCTTTTCTTCATATAATTGGTTATCCAATTTTTTCCCAAGACCATACATATTGATAATAACTTTTTGAAATTTAACTTAGTAATCCTTGGTTCACCACTTCGACCTATTTACAAATTCTGGAATTTAAAAATGATTTTAATTTTTTTGGTGGAAATAGCAACTTGTAAAACATGGTTAGTATTAAATGAATTTTGGTTGTTTTTTAATGAAGTTAATGTACTGTTGTGCATTATTCTCCAAAAGAGAGAAAAGTGCAGTCTTCCCCCCCCCCCATCAACTCTACAATTCTGGCTTTGCCCCCTATACTTAACCTTTTAAAGAAAGTTCTTGATGCCTTGCCATCCACTCTAGAATTTACTGAATTCCTTCACATTTTTGGTGAGGCCTTCTGATATCTCTGTCACAAAGAAAATGAAACAGAAGAGATAGGAATGGGGAAAAAGCAGTATTTGTTGCAGTTTGTCTTATGTACAATTATGTGCAGATGGTTCTGTTTTCACATATAATACTTTCTTAAGATATACTCGGGTTGAATGAATAAAAAGCAGAGTATAGACTTTATATTTTTTGGGGGAGGGTGTTGGATGTGGGGAACACCCAAACAGCCAGAAGTAGCTTAAAGTCCTTATTTATACTTTACCTTGTAGGTGTAATTTTCAGTGACATATTTCTAGAATGTTCTTTGAATGTCTTCCTTGATAATATGTAAGGTATTTGGCTAAGTTCAGTTGGTATGCAGCTCAGCCTGCACATTTCTGCTTTTGGCTTAGTTTCCTTTTACTTAACCCAAGCACATTCAATTTGTGTTTGTTGGAATTTAAATTCCATATTCTCTTCTATATCATTAGCACCTAGAATGATACTTTGCATATACAAGGTACTCAGAAATATATTGAATGATTGAAATTATCATTGTATTAAATTATAAAATTTGAGGTCTACAGTTCTTATTAGTGTCAGTCTTTTATTGTTTTTACTCATTTATATGAAATTATAATGGGATAAGATGGTAAAATATTTTTTAAATCTGAAAAACATTGTGATACAAATATGGTGCTACTGCTGAAGTTGGACCTTAGGCTGACAGGAGCATTTCTGTACTGTTCCTAAATTAAGTGTTAAAAAGTATTAATCAGTTAATCTAGGAAACTATTAGTTTGGTATTGGAAGGGCAGTTTAGGGTATCACTGATACATGGATGTAAAGTGGCTATTAAAAGTTTCAGGACTTGGGGCTGGGGATTTAGCTCAGTGGCACAGCACCTGCCTGGCAAGTGCAAGGTTGGGAGTTCGATTCCCAGTACCGGAAAAAAACCAAAAAAAAAAAGTTTCAGGACTACTTCTTCTTGAATGTGATGGATTACACATATACAGGAAAAATTTCATGCCAGAATATAGTAAATAAAAATAGATAAATAAGAAAGACCTCATACTTAAATTCTGCCTTTAAAAGTAGTGTTTTGTGTCAAGCAAATTATAAAATATTGTAGGCCTACACTTACTACATTCAACAATATTTTCAATTAATGTTATTTAAGATATGTTAATATTTAGAGCAGTGTCCTTGTACATCTGAATGTGAGGTTATTGAAAATACAATTTTTGTTTAACCCCTCATATTTCTCTTTGTTTTCGTTATTGAACCTATGAGTGAGCTGAGAGATTTGGAGAACCATTTGTGCTTTAAGCTCATGAGTTTGAGATACTGTTACACTTCTTTTGGAACCAAGAAAGAGAATGACTGTGGGATTAATAGTAGTTTGCTGCTTCAGGGAAAAAGTATATTTCTCATACTTTTAAAGTAGTCACTATAGTGATCTAATTCTAGAGAACAGATTAAGACCACTTCACCATTCATTCATTCTCGGTATGCTTTAATACTTTTGTATCGTAACAGCATTGAGTAGAAACACTGGAGGCTCTTCAAACCATGTTACCATGTATGCTTATTGCTAAAACTCATATTTACTTTTATTCTATGGCTCAATATCTAGTCCTCTGAAGTAGAGAGAAGTGAAAAACTTTGAAGACGAGCTAAAACCCTTATTTGTGAGTGTTCATTGGGAAGATGTTCAGAGTGTGTTTTGAAGCTGAGAGACATCTATAATCATAATTTCTTTTGTGAACTTAGTTCATTGTGTTGCTATGTTTAAATGCTAGAGTTGAAAGAACAGGAGTATTTGAAAGATGGCTTTTTTAAGTTAAAGAATTCCTTCTTAGTGAAGCTACATTCCTCAGTATGAACATGCTTGGCATATTTATATACTGTAGCTGGGCACAGATACATAAATTTATTGAACTTGGTTCTCTTCTTTACTATTCTATGAAAGAATGTCATTGATAGCAGGGAACCAATCAAAATAATGTTAGGAAACAGTCTCTAAAAATCCTTCAACGCAGACCAATAACTTTTTTTTTTGGACAAGAGACCCTATGAAATTTTATTAGTACCATTATTGTTTTCTTTGGTGCCATGTATTACATTGGTAAAATGACAAAAAAAAGGAAAATTGTGAAAGGCAAGTATTTTGTACAAAAATACAAAGTTTTAAAAGCTCTTTAAATATATTTCATATTACTAAGAGTTGGCCTATATATCTATATATCGGCATAGTTTTCCTATATTTGGGATTTTAGAAATGTTAAGGTACTGTTCACAGTGTATATTTAAGTTCTCATAGCTCAGCAACCAATGGTGGTCTTCTTCTGATTAGAGCACTTCATATTTTGGAAGATAAAATTTGTGTAATTGTGCAGTATTGGCTGAGAAAAATCGATGTGATTCAGTCCATCTGCACACTGAAAATCAGCATGTCAGACCAATAGCTTTATAGCTTGAGAAGGTTGGAAGTTATTGAGCCCTACTTTACTCATTCACAAAAAGTATTACAAATACCTGTTAGGCCTGTTTATATGATTATTTTGGAAGATCAAGTAGAGTATTCTATGTAAATGAAGTTTGGAAACTAAAAAGTATATCCATGTGAGGAAGCATTACTGATTGAAACAGTAAATACCACCTAACCTCTAACAGGAATAACCCATTCATGTATGTGGCACCAAAGAGACGCTGGCTGTTTAAGTTAGGGAGAAAGGACTATGATAATAGAATACTCTTTGATCTATAGAATAAATTTTTTTCCTGACAAATGATGTGCATGTTTTATTGCTGCCTTTTTTTTGAAGACAGTCTTCTTCTTAGAAATCATCTAAAAACCTCTATAAACAAATTTTTCTATAATAATGAAATGATACCCTCTGGTACTGACAGTATTGTTTTCTGGCCAACCCTCTTGTGCATTTTTGTGATATGATGGGAGATGTTGTGAATCCTAGTGAAAGACATCAGCTTAACTGTCTCTGCTGAGTGGACCTTATCCTCCTTCCTTCCTTCACTCTCGGGGTGCCTGGATTCTAGTTGCAGCTCATAAATACTAGTTTTCTTATGTCCCGTAATGTTTGTACTAGTGGTGCTTGCTGTTGAATTTTATCTATGTAAGTTTGGAAACATACACTTGAACTCAACTGTCTTTAAAATAAAGTGATGCCATAGTATTAAAGAAAGGTAAACATTTAATGAAATGATGCCCAAGTATTAATTTAAGAAAGGTAAAAATTAATGAAATTAGTTTACCTTTTGAGGAAACTTTTAGCCATATTTTCTTTCTTGAAATGTTGTCCCTTTATGCTGATGATAGTTTTTAGGTTGTCATAATTTAGGGTTAGGATGGCCTACGTTTACCATATACAGTTACTCACCCCTTCTTAAGCACAAATGATGGAAATTTTTTAGGTAATATTTAAACAGCTGTCACATGTTCAGTGTGTAAAGACCCTTATAAAGAAAATGTTCATGGAAAGCGTATCATAATGCAGTTAAAACTTATGCCTAGTGGTATTTCTATTTTTATTCTTTTAGGTAAGCAGAATTTTATATAGTTTTGGAACAGCATTCAAACGATCTTCCAGACAAGTATCTGATGTTAAGGACTCGATTATTCCTACCCCCGACAGTGATGTGTTTACCTTCAGTGTTTCTTTGGAGGTAAAGGAAGATGATGGGAAAGGAAACTTTAGGTGAGGTTATTTGAAAAGAATAAAAATTAGCATTACATCTGATATATAATATTGGCTAATATAAAGTTTCTAGAAATTAGATAATATTGGCCTAAGGTTTTACAATGGTGATAAAATACTTGGCTGGTAAATGAATATTCACTGTTCTCATGTCTTTTGGTTAAATGATTTTTTAAATGATTTAAACAGTATATTATACATGCATATATGGAAATGTCACAGTGAAACCCATTAATTGCATTATTAATGTGTTACAAGAAAATAAAAATACCAGAAGATAAAAATGCTTCTATTTATTATAGAAAACAGTAAAATAATGAAAACAGAAAAAGCTGTAATGGTGCCAGCTATAAATAAACACTTTTAACATTTGCTTTATTCCTTTTATTTTAGAGAACATTTTACGCAATTGAAGTTACATAGTTTTTTTTCTTTATGATGTTAAGAACTGTAAAAATGGGCTTAATGAAAATCATTGCTAATAGTTACTGATAGTGTATTATTTTATTTGACCATCATTTCATCAATCATTTCTTTTTATTATATTTTAAGTTTTTCCCCAGTTTAGAAGGATGTCATATTATTTAATAGTTACCTGTATTCTGTAAATGTGCCTTTCATTTAACAATAATTGCTAGGTAGTGTTTTTTTATTGGTACATGTTTGTAATACATAATGATTGCATTCATTGTGGGAGGTTGGTACATGTACATAACACACCTTAATTCTTTTTACTTCCCCTTTGCTTCCTTTCCCTTCCTCTCTCCCTCCTTCTGTCCTTTTTTTCTTTTTTCTTTTTTCCAGTAGCAGGAATCGAACTCACAACTTTGTGCTTGCCAGGCAGGCGCTGTGCCACTGAGCTAAATCCCCAGTCCCCCTCCTTCTCTATATCGCCTTCCCATTTGGAACAGATCTGTCTCTGTTTCCTGTTGTCTTTTATTTTGCTCTTTACATTATATCTGCAGTACTTCAGGTTTCTCATATAAGAGAAGCCATAGGATATTTAAGTTTGTGTTCTGTCGTCATGTAAATTACGGTCTTAAGGTACATGCATTTTTCTATGAGGTGTGTATAGAAATTGAGTCTCAGGGGTCAAATAAGTTGCTTAAAGTATTTTTCCTTTGCAGATAAGACAACTCATTTTAGGATATTTACTTTGAGGAATTAATTCGTTGCAAGCATAGTCAGTTTTTCTTAAGTTAGAATTTGCTTAATTTGCTACAATCTACATCTCATTACATCTCTTTCATTTATATTTATTTAGATTTGTCACAGTCATCTCAAATTCTAGGTATCTAACAGTAAGATTTAATTTTTGCCTTGGATTTCATTGTCTTATGGGTACTAATGTGACAGTCAATAAAAAAAAATTAAATACGCCTGGAAAATGAAATAAAACTTGAAATTATGTTATTGGCACCTTTTTAGATCTTGGATTTAACTTTGGATTTGAGATAAAATATATGGCTTTTTTAAGTCTAGCTTAAAAATTAATAGAAATTTTATATTGCTGACTACAAAATTCACTGCCTATAGCAAAGTGAGAGTTTAGTACATCTTAAGAATTAGAGTGTTAAAAAGAATTACAGTTTTGTTGCAGAAATAATTTGTTGTCTTGTTCTAAGCTTGGAACAGGTTATTTAATCATTTTATTGTATCATTTGTCTAATCATATTGTATTGGTAATTCTTGTTCTTTTTGAATATTTCAGTCCTGTGCCTAAGGATAGAGACAAATTTTATTTCAAATTAAAACAAGGAATAGAGAAGAAGGTTGTGATCACAGTGCAGCAACTCTCTAACAAAGAATTAGCTATTGAAAGGTAAGCAACTGTCTCCTAAACAATTGTATTGACCTAATTGTGTTTTAAAAGGGATACAGTTGAATCTCACCTGTATTACCCACTGTGGCTTTTCACTATAATTAAGTTTCTCCAATTAAAAATAATGAAAATAATAATGTAGTCTCCATTTTAAGTTAAATGTAGCTGCTTGACTACAGTTGATGGGGGAAATAAACACGAAATGACTTAGTTTTTGAGTAATGACAGCATCAAATTTCTGTTCACATCCCTTTTTCCTGGTGTCTCTTATTTACGTATAGTTTATATTTCCTATTAGTTTCTGGAATTTTAGGATCTTTAAAGTATGCTTTAAAAATCTGTACTGGGGAGTAAATTTAGAGGTGCTGTACCACTGAGCTGCATCCCTATCCCTTTTTATTTTGACAGGGTTTTGCTAAGTTGGCAGCAGAACTCATGGCTCAGCAGCCTCCTTCCTGCCTCAACCTCCCTCAGTTTGGGGACATTTTAAAAATATATAAATATAAGCGTGTGTGAGTGTGTGTGTGTGTGTGTGTGTGTGTGTGTGTATGTTACTGCAGTTTGCATCCCGGGCTTTGTATGCATTAGGCAAGTGCTTTAGTGCTGAACTGCATCTCCAGCCTTTTAAAATTTTATTTTGATACAGGGTTTCACTAAGTTATCCAGGCTGGTCTCAAATTGCTATCCTCCTGCCTCAGCCTCCTAGTAGCTAGGATAAAAATGTGTGTACCACCGTACCTGGTGATGACATGTTATAGTTGTCACTTTTCTTTGTCTTAGTGGTATAATAAATAGTGTTGAGTCTTTTTTGGTACCAGAAATCAAAATCATGACCTCATGCTTGCCAGGCAGGTGCTGTGCTGCTGAGCTATATCCCTGGCCTGTTGAGTCTAAAAATTGGTAAAAAAAAGTATTTGGAGACAAAGTACTTTTGATGTTGAATATCGTAGTCCTAAAAGAATGTGATTAGATTTATATGATGACTTTAGTTAAAAAAATTGGCTAGCATTAGATATGTGTTCTTTTTTTTTTTTTTTAATTTGGACATAATTTCAAAGTTCAGAGTTAAAAAAATACCCTGGACAAGCCACGCAAGCCCCCTTCTGTTCCTCTCTCGGACAGAAGCTTTCTTTCTCTCAATAAATATATTCAGCTCTTAAAAAAAAAAGTTAAAAAAATAAAAGTAGAACTTACAGAGACCGCTTGTGTACTTTTTAATCACATTTACTTATAATTTTGTACCCCATTTGCTCCCCCTTCTTACCTTCACACACACACTTGTTATTTTGCACAGTGTAAGAATATGTTACATACATTAGGTCCTCAATGTACCCCTAAGTACTTCAGTGTGTATTTTCTAATAATGGGGAATCACTTACATAGTATATTTACCAACTTCAGTGAGTTTAGCACTTACTAAACTCACTGAACTAAAAAAACAAAACAAAACAAAACAAAACTCACTGAACTCTACTTTTTATTAAGTCTGCTTTTTGTCTGCCAATTTTGTCAGTTAACCCAGTAATACCACTGTCTTCCTCTACTTCAGGATTTATGCTATCATCAGACACTGTATTTACTTACCATATGTCTTTAGCTTTCTTTAATCTAAGATGTTTCCACAGCCTCTTGCTGTCTTTTAAGACAAGAAATATATTGAAAAATATATTTCTTTCCTCTCTTTTTAATACAACATTGTTCATTTCAGGTTTGTCCAGTATCTCTTCGTGGTTAGATGCAGAGTGTACGTTACTGTGTGGGTGATGTTGTGTATTTTCCAAATTATCACCTCCGAAGATACTTGATAGTCATCTGTCCCTTGCTGTTGATAATGATTTTGATTATCCTGCAAAATGTCTGATTTCTTCACTGTGTACTTTTTTCTCTCTCTCATAATTAGTAAGTGGCCTGTGGGGAAACACTTTTAAGACCACAAAATATATTGCTTAGGCTTCATTCGTGATTCTTGTCTGATTCAACTTTTCTGCTGGTGACCAGAGTAAAATGCTAATTTTCCACTGCTTGAACTCTAGCTGCCTTCCCAGTCAATCCTTGGCATTCTGATGGAAAGAAGAGCTTTCCCTTCTCTCCCACTGAGTTAACTACTGATTACTGGTATAAATTCTTGAATTTCATTTTTTCTCAATAACTTTATAATTCACTATAGTACTTAACTGTTGGCAGCTAGATATTTGAGAATTAGCTAGTGAAAGTGCATTCAAAGTCTGTGTCCTTCTGACATTCCTCATCATTTCTTGTGCATATACTTGCTGGCATAGCAAAAGAAAAAAAGCATCTTCAATTTAATAATTCTGTGGTAACACATGCAGTAAAGTATCAGGTGTTGGTTTGAATAATTTAGTTTTGAATACATATAACTTTAAAATCTTAGTGTTTTATGATTCATTGGCATATTATAAATAAGCTATGCCTGAAAATAAAGCAGTTCTTTTTCCCAGTGTGAAGCTCCAAGTTTGATTGAGTATAGAAATCTTGACAAATATAGGTGGAATAGCTGAACCCCTTAACTATATTTTCTTTGCTAGCATTGTTAAACATTTTTAAATATATAAGAAAACAATAGCAACTTAGAAATGTTACTCTTTTACTACTTTTATATTTCATAAAATATTTTTATTCAGATACTTCCCAATAATCTTTAGTATCATTGTCTTCACTGTCACTTAACCTACTTTAAAAATACTGTAATTATTAGCATATATTGTTGTACAGAATAATGGGTTTCTTTGTAACATTTTCATACATTTAAACTACTTTTTGTGTAGTTTTTCTGGAGCATAGGCATTTATCTAGACCATATTGAAACATTAGTTGTCAAACTCAGTTGGTTCCAAATTCACATTCAAACACCAGAGTTTGAAACTGAACATATTTTTTTCATAAAAAATGATGGACAAGCAAATAATTGGTTCTGAGGCCCCCAAATTACTCTTATAAATTCATTTTTCCAGGGCTTGAACAAATTTCATAATGATTTCTTTATTTTTTTATTTTTATTTTTATTTTTTTGGTCTTTTTGAGACAGAGTCTTGCTATGCAGTTCAGGCTGACCTTGAGCTCAGTTTGTAGCCCAGGATGGTTTTGAACTTGCAGTGATCCTCCTGCCTCAGCCTACTGAGTGCTGGGATTACAGGCATGTGCCACCACACCTGGCTCTTTCTTTAATTCTATTGTGATTATCACCATTTTCTTTTAGCTTTACTGCTGGTATAACTAACTTTCTTTGGAGCCATGGTTATATATTTCAGAAATAAAGTACAAACAAACAAAAAACAAACCACAGTGATGACTGTTGTAACACACTAACACAGGTACTGTATGTTGACTGAGTGAGAGCAGTGCTTAGGCTGAGTGTCGCCCCTTTGTTTCCGTGGTGAGATGCTACCTGTGACTCACTCTTGGCCCATACAGGTTTTTTCAGGTTGGAACTTTGGCCCAACTATTGAGCAAAGTTATAAAGACTGACCAGATTTTTTCAAACTTTTTGAGTAGTGGAAAGTTCAAGCTTGGAGTCGTTTGACAACCAAGCTATCACTGTATCTCAACTTTGGCCTAAGTTATTTCAGAGAAACCTGTTTTTGAAAAAGTACTGTATGTGTTACTATCATTAGAAATTTTCTAAGATATAAGTACCTAGCTACATGCACTAGGACAATTGTTTTTTAAAATAATTCCTTATAACCACTTACTATATTGCTTTACATAGTTTTTAAAAAATTGATAACATTATATATACTGTATACGTGTTGTTTTGTGATTTGTATGCATTATAGAATGACTAAATTGAGTTGCTTTGGTTTTAATAGAACTATCTCAATGATGATATCTAACACTTGCAAGTCTGGGTTCATATATTCAGCAGTAATTACTAAATTCATGTTAACTTTCTTTGCTTCTCTGTTTTACACATCTGTCCAATGACCTCTATAAATACTCAGATGAGCAGTGACTAAGATTGCTTTAGGCCAGTGAGTTTTGCCCAAACAGTATTTTGTTTGGTTTAACAAACAGAATTACCTGTGAGATGAGAGATTTTATACTCAGATTTATCTATTTTGGAGAAAGAAAATTTTTGCATTTTGTTATGTTAATTGTGGTATTTAATGTGTTTAAATTACAAACTGTGAATTGTGGAATTTAAAAAATCCGGTAGGTGGCAGTCTTATCAAGAGAATTCTTAATACCGCTGCATCTTAACAGTATTGTTGACAAAGTTAATTTGTAGTATAAAGACATTGTTGTTTAAAGAAAAGCCTGCAAATCACATATTTGGGTATGTCTACTGTAGGCAAAAAAACTTACCATTTAAAACAACTTTATTGCATTATACAAAAAAGCACAATAATACATTGAACCCCAGTGTACATGGAATGCTAATTATCAGTGTTTTGTTTCTTAAAAAATTTTTTTCTATTATGAAAGAAGCATATTTGTGTGCATCCAAAATTTCAGGGTACCTCATACATTGACCTCTGACAAGTGCAAGTACTGTGTCACTTATTTCAGCCTATAGCACAGCGCTTGCAATAAAGAGCTTGATAATTACTTAATTGCTAGCACTTTCTCTGTGCTCAGTACTGTTGTACCTATGAAATGTAGGTATTGTTCTCTTTGTTGAAATGTTTATGCTTCTTTTAATATTTCACTTGAAAGAGAAAAATGAGAGTTAAATGCTGCTTCATGTTTTCTGTTACAAGTGATACTTACTGGAATTTGCCCGAGGGAGGTGGCATTAGCAGTGGGACACCGAGGAGAGTAGGATGGATTCATTTCCCTCAGTTCCCTGTGTGTCTTTACTGCAGGAGGACTTTTTTTAAATTTTAAATTTTTTATTAGTACATATTTCAGTACATAACGGTTACATTCCTTGTGTGGAGTTGGTAGATGTACTTAACACATCTTAGTTTTTCATCCTCTTCTTCTCTGCCTCAGCTTCGTCCTTCTATCTCTTGATCACCATCCCATTTAGGAAAGATCGA